AAACTTTATTTGGTGGAAACAATTGACCAGCCCGGAGTCTATTTCATAAATTATTACGCAGATCAGCTGCAAGCATGGAGGTAAAAAAGACATTCAACGCCAATCATCAAACAATTCAGAAACTTTTAGCTTTCGAAAATGAAAACAGTTAGCAGTGTGTAAGGGCTGTGTAATTTCCTGTTTGTCCGACGCTTCGTTTTCGTGTCACTGTCAAAATTATTGCTACCTTTTACTTAACAGGGACTAAATGGTCTCTATAAAACGATAATCAGGATCGCAAAAAAAGTCTGATTTGAAACACTTGCCGGACGTCTCTCTCTCTTCTGAAATCCGCCTCGGTGATCATGGGCTGGTCTCTGGAATCTATTTCTTTCAAAAGTGTTGCGCCAGGTTTAAGTTGTCGGCGTTTCTCTTTAAACCTAGTCGTTTTTTTCATGGACGAGGACAGTTTTCCCCCCAAAAAGAATCTAAGGTTAAGTGATGTCGCACCTTCGGATCGATTAGGAACGTGTGAATACATACACTATGGCTATACGTTTCACTGCAACTGCCCACAACACAACATCTGAAAACTCTCTCTCAAAAAAAAAAAGAAAAAGAAAAAAACGCCGACCGAAAAATGTATATCGTTTAAAAGTATACTGAACGACCAGTGTTATTACGGCTCAGGGGTATGACTTGCTCTCACATTTTGTCATTTGGTGGCGCACTTTCGGCGAGAGTCGGAAATCTGGAAACAGTCGACCGTTTCACGATAGGTGGGCGTGGCTACAAAACGAGAAATATCCCACATTTACTTGGATACGGGTAATCATTTTCAGCAAAAAAATCAATAACTACCCTTTTCAGTGGGACACAGATCTAAAATGGGGAACGTGAGGGTGGGCATTGTACAGCACTTTATTCAAGTAACAAATTGAATGCAGATTTTCCAGTGGGAGTGAAACTATTCGACTCTGCCATAAAAAATAGGGGTGTTTTCAGCGAAAAACGAATACTGAGTAACATCTTCTCACTAACCAGAGTATAATTATCAATAATAGACCGCAGGAGAGTACTTGGATGTTACATATGACCAATACTAATGTATGGTTGCGAAGCATGGATTATCAGTAAGGAGACAGAACATCAATTAAAAGCAGCTGAGATGTGTATTTTTCGCAGAATGCTTAGAATCTGATATGTGAACAGGATTGCGAATGAAGATGTCCTTGAAAGAGCAGGAACAACGAGGTCTCTCGTCAATGAAATAAAGAAGAAGCAGGCAACGTTCTTTGGACAAGAACAGAATAGGAACATTTAGTAACGACAGGGAAAATTGATGGGAAACGAAGCAGGTGTAGACAAAGAGAGAAGATGCTTGACAGTATGACATCATGGTTACAGAAGGTAAAACCAACACAAATTGTGCACTTGAAACCGTGGTCGATGGAGATCCATGATAGCCAACGCTATGCAGAACGTTTAACCTATCCACTACGAACACCCTCAATGGCGGCGGCACAGGGGCGGGCGTAGAGGGGACGATTGCCCCCTCGAAAAAATTGTTTGGGGGCGTCACCTAGTAAGGTCGCGCCTTCGACGCAATGTTAGTGAGCAAATCTCGCCCTCCCCCCCCCCATGTAAAATTTCGTGCCGCCGCCTCAGACCCTGATGACAGATGTTGAACAATTTAACAACAAGACACGTTATTTCTAGAGCGAATTGTCGGAATTATATTTTGAGCCACAAACAACCAACCTGTAAATCTATAAATGACCATCGTAGTATCAAAGACGGGTATGTATATTTTTAACCATTTAATAATGCAAGATTGATTCTGGTTTATTTGCATAAAACAAAGCTTACCCAGTTACCCAGTTACCCAGTTACTAGTACCCAGAATTCGTCATAAAAATGACCCTTAATGACAACCGGTATTTTGTTGTTAGTTGTTTATGTATTATCAATTGATGAAAACAAAAATACATTCGTGTCATACAATCAAGTGGTAACCTTAGGTGAATTTCACTCTATTGTATAATAATATTAATAATATTAATAGAAATAAATTATTAATTGCAGCGATTAGTGTTTTTTTTTTAATTTTAATATTACGTACGTGTATATCAAAACACACATACCAAATTGGCCGTACAAAGTAACTTAGAACTTTAATAAATGCTTACCAAATATAATCTTCTGTCACACAAATAATTATCGTCTAATGTCTTATAAGTTTATTTTTCTTGAGATACATTATTAATGTCACATGACTAATATTTGCATACCCGTTCTGGATATCAAATGCTACTAATGTATATGTATGTACTAGATTAGTCCGTTCGCTGTTGTAGCTTTATTTACATGTTGTTAATTCTATACAAATGAACATTATGCATATTATCGTTCATGTGAAATTGAAGAGATTTACATATATAGAGAGAATGTTTCATCTCGTCTTTTATAGTTGTTTTGATATTCTTTACATGTGTAAGCCAACAAACGACATTATTTCTACTAAACGTGCACTTTCTAAACATAGAATCAGGCATATTTTACTTACCGGGGTAGTACTCTGTAGTTTGTATACAAATGAACATTGTGTATATCAGTATTTGTGTGAAATTGAAGAGATTTAAATTTAATTTGAAATATTTCATCTCGTCTTTTATAGTTGTTTTGATATTTATTTTACATTTGTAAGCCAAGAAACTATCATAGTTTCTACTATGGCAATTACTGAATATGGAATCAGTCATAATTAACTGAAGGAGAGAAGGATAAATGAAAGCTCCCACACGGAGTTCTATTTTTAGAAATATCCATGATCACGTGAGTGATGATGCCCCAAACACGTATCCTATTGAATCGATACATGATGTGGTTGCCTGTTTGTTTGGCAGTGGTCATCACTTTGTTGTGCATAATACCTCATGCGTTATGCGATTACAAACTGACCTTACTTCACACAAACGACGTACATGCACGGTTCGAAGAAACTGATGTCGATTCAGGGTCTTGTGAAGAATTTGAAAAAACTGTCGGGGAGTGTTATGCCGGTGTGCCTCGTCGAATGACTGAAGTGGAAAGAATACGAGAACGTGATGAAAATGTACTGCTATTAGACGCTGGTGATCAATTTCAAGGCACCATGTGGTTTTATTTTTACAAGGGAAAGGCAACATCTTATTTTATGAATTGGCTTGACTACGATGTCATGGTAGGTATATACAATAAATTTAATTAGGTTAGCTGATTGTAGTTTACTCATATAGCCCGGATATTCACAATTATTACAAATAGCAAGGATTTCGTGACGTTTAAACGATCCGTATTAATAAGAGGGAAACATTCGATATAACTGAATCAAACACAACTTATTTAATAACAGGGCTGCACCGACCGACCAATGGGAGCACGAAGTTTCAATATTGAGCAACACATGATGTTATAATACAGTATAATAATGGTGTTATTTACATTAGCATCAATACCAGTTTGGTGACCTCTTGTTTAAAAATCGTCCAAGAATATAGCGCCATATATTCGATAATTTGTAGCGTTTAACCATAAAACAGTACATGGACCAATAGATGTGGAAATTAACCTGCATTCGCGAATTTCGGAATTGGCGGTACGGAATATGGTATTTAAATAGTGACATGTATAATATAAATTGTATATATATTATGTTTTGGAAATACGTCACAGAAATAATGTAAGTTAATAAAATATTTTCATGGTACGAATACCCAACACATGTAGTTTGCCGTAATGTATTATTTAATGTTGACGTGTACTACCCGATGGCGCTGTTACACCAGCATTTAGTCATATGTATACTATTGTTTCTTCTGTAATTCATTTAAAGTGCCAGACACCTAACATGCGATTAGATGTTTGTTTAGTATTTCTGTTTGCATGATGATTATAGAATAATAACTTCGATAAATAGTCGATAGTATTTGCTAATTGTTACCCAAAGTAAAATAGCTAGACGGCTTTGGCAATGGATCTTTTTTAATAGCATAAATAAAATATTTTCTATCTATAATACTAACTTCGCAACTAGTTACGAATATAAAACAAATGATTGATAACAATCGACAAAGCAGTCTACAAGAACAAAACAAATGACCAGTATAACACAACACCAACATGA